ACTATGGGGGGGTCCGGAGGTACAGGAAATGGAATCCCAACCCAGGAGCTAGCAACGATTGAGGCGAGACAAATGGGTAGAATTTGCTCTTACAAGACCTTCCTATGTTACAAGCCACCAGAATTTGTGGGGTCGGACGATCCCGTTGCATGCATGAATTGGCTCCGGGAGATCGTGCAATCCTTTCGGGCTTGTGACTGTGACGAGGGACAAAAAGTGAAGTTTGGCTCTCAAATGCTGAGGGGTGCAACTCTTACCTGGTGGAACATTGTCATCTCGACTATCGAGGTTACTGAATTGACCAAGATGAGCTGGACCACATTCAAGGAAAAAGTGATGGAAGAATATTGCAATGAACAGGAGATGGATCGTATCGAAGAAGAATTCCGAACCCTAAAGAAGGGAAATTTGTCAGTAAGGGACTACACCCGACTCTTCATGGAAAAACTAAACTTGGTGGGACACGTGGCCCCAACGGAGAAAGATAAAATGAAGGATTACATTAAAGGACTACTTGCAGAAATGATGGTAATGGTCAGGAACTCAAGAGTTTCCACCCTCAGGGAGGCGAACGAAGAAGCCAAGGTCTTAGAATCAGTTTATGTTAAGGGAAAAGAAGAAAGAATGTCGAGTGGTGAGAAGAGGAAGTGGGAAGGGCCCTACGCACCATCCAAAAGGCCAAATCACCTTAGCAACAATAATCGCGGAACCCATCCCAAACAAGAGTCAAGATGGTGTCCCAAGTGTCGCATTAAACATCACGGCTCGTGTAGCACCAACTCCACCCCCACCAAATGTTTTAAGTGTGGGAAGACAGGCCACACACGAAACGAGTGTCCAATCAAGGGACACATATGTTTTGGATGCGGGGAACTAGGCCATTTCAAGAATGATTGCCAAAAGTTGAAAACAGGTGGGAGTCAAGGAAGAAAAGAAGGCACCCCAAAAGCAATCGGCCGAGCCTTTCAGATGTCGAGAGAAGAAGCTAAGGCGTCGACGGATGTAGTGTCGGGTACGTTCCTTGTTAACTCCGTATCTGCTCACGTACTTTTTGATTCGGGTGCTTCATGTTCCTTCGTGTCCACTGCATTCTATCAACACTTGCATA